TAGTAGTAGTATATATATATATATATATATATATATATATATATATATATATAATTCGATAAATCTAGAGAGAGTGATGTAACGATGCTGGATAAAGATTAAAAGTAACAATAAAGAGTATTAATAATAAATATTGAAATATATTGCAGCAGACCATTTCGCGAGTAGCAACATTTGAATTTGGCGATTTCTTGATCACACCCTGTGGCGGGGGTGACTTCTACGCGCAGCATCCGACCGGATCAATGACAAATCTCCGTCTACATTCTATGCGCTCGCGCTCTATCTCGAGGTATTAGCACTTGGGTTGTTCCAAAGTGCGCTACCCTCTGGTGTGGATCGGTTTGGACATGTAATAGACAGTAGGAGACTCCGAGTGGATCCTTGGAGATCCGTCTCGCTTCGGACGAGAGATTCGGACGAGACATCTAAGATAGGGTGCATATATTAAAACGTCGGGAAGCGTGAGTGAGTTGCTTAAGTTTCATTTTTTCAGATGCGCGAATCACAATTAAAATCAGTGCAGTTCTCAGATGACAATAGCGATTATTATTTTCGAATACACATTTATACGACGCGAGGAAATGCACGTATAAGTTCGTAAATCGTCACTTAAACCTTGATTCAAATATAAATATGAATCCAAAATGGATAAAATAGATAGAGAAGCGCAAATAAATGCAGTTAAAATAGCGTTAATTTATTTGACATTATGAAAATACGCAAAACTTTCATCTGTGAAAATGGGCGGAGGCTGTTGATGCTAGAAAGGGATATAAAATTATCAATAATCCAGTAATTCTTTCAATCTTTAGTAGTAAATGAAAGTTAACGGAAAAGCATAATTTATAATTTTAAATTAATTCTAACCAAATATATTTTTTTAAAATCTGTCAGTTCGAAGATTAAATAATTTAATACATAATTAAATTAATGAATTGAATTGTAATAAATGATGTTATTTATTATACCTGAAAAATAAAAATTAATTCTTCAATATTTTATGATAAAAACACATTATATTTTAAACTAAATTAAAAATATATAAAAAATCTAAAGCGATTAGAAAACTTTATTAATTAATTGCCGATTGTTTAATATTGTTTGTCATTAATTTCATAATTTTAGTGAAAGAATTAATTTAAGAATTAATTAAATCAATCTTTTGTGAAATGCTAAATTAGAGAATATATATTATTATTTTACTTCGTTTAGTTTATATATTAAATTTCAATTATCAAATTAATAATTTTTGTTATTATCGTGATTTTTTTACAGGGTGACTGCACAATGACGAAATTACGTGTGAAGACCGTGCTGTCACTCCTCTTTATCATTTTGCACAATGCTCCGCGTTTAGGACTCGTCCTTGCCAGGACGATGAACTATAATAACCCAAGTTACTTCAAAATCGGCGGAGTTTTATCCAATGTCGACAGCAAGGAGCATTTCGAAAAAACGATTGACGTAAGATTAATAATAATGATTTTGCATAATAATATATAATAATATTATATATGTAATAATTTAATTTTTCATAATGTTTATTAACTTGTCTCTAGGAAGAGACAAGTTTTACGTTATACGTTGTTATACATGTTATACATGACCACATGTTCATATATTGAATTTGTATATATATCTAATTTCAGCACCTCAATTTCGATTTCCAATACGTCAATAAAGGGGTTACATATAAGCATACCGTAATCGAGTTGGATTCCAATCCTATCAGAACTGCGTTGAGTGTCTGCAGATCTCTGATAGCCGAACAGGTCTACGCGGTGGTGGTGTCGCACCCGCTTACAGGCGATTTGTCACCGGCAGCGGTTTCGTACACGAGCGGCTTCTATCACATACCCGTGATCGGCATATCGTCCAGAGATTCCGCTTTCTCGGACAAAGTACGTGGGATAATTAGAAATATAATTTGCAGTGACACGGTAGCGTAAATTAATGCAAGATAAAATAAAATCAGAAAAAAGATTAATCTCTTAAAACCAAACAAAAAGTCTAGAAGTTTTTTCTAGAAGTTATATAAGTTTAAAATATTTTTAGAAAAATAAATGAAAAATTTAATACATTAGTAGGCTAATTATATCATATTATCTAATAATGTAAAAAATGATTTTGCATTATACTGAATGTATTCGATTGTTGTTGTCTTTGCAGAACATCCACGTCTCATTTTTGCGCACTGTACCGCCGTATTCTCATCAAGCGGATGTTTGGGTAGAATTGTTGAAGCACTTCAACTATATGAAGATCATCTTCATTCATAGCTCTGACACGGACGGCCGTGCCCTCCTCGGACGTTTCCAAACGACGTCGCAGAATTTGGAGGATGATGTAGAAATCAAAGTGCACGTACGTTGTATATCAATTTTTTCTTATTGCAAATTATTCTATTTATTAATTTTACTATTGTAATTTTTAAGTATATTATAATATATAAACTTTTTATATTTTGTATATTTTTCGATAATTATGTAACGCTATTACATCATATAAAAAAGGAAGAAATACTATTACTAGTTATTATTTTTAGGTTGAGTCAGTTATCGAGTTCGAGCCGGGATTACACAACTTCGAGGAACAGTTGAGGGAGATGAAAAGCGCGCAGGCCAGAGTCTGCCTCATGTATGCCTCGTAAGTACCCTTTAATATTTATGAATTTTAACAATTACAGTAAAATAAAAATATCAAAAAGCAGAAATAAATTTTTATTTTAAAATAATAATATGAGAAATCATTCTTAAATATTTCATATCGGATCTTAATTGTATTAATTATCGGATTTTAATTGCGGAGATATTTAAATAATTCTTTTGGATGTATATAGGAAAAAGGACGCAGAAGTGATCTTCAACGACGCTGCCAATCTGAACATGACTGGTGCCGGTTACGTATGGATTGTTACCGAGCAAGCGTTGGACGCGCCGAATGCGCCGGACGGTTTATTGGGGCTAAAGCTGATCAATGCTACTCAAGAAAAATCGCATATAACCGATAGTCTGTTAGTGCATCCATCTTTTAACTTGGTTTCTATTGAGTTGTATTTCTTGCTTTCAGTTTACTTGAAATATTTTTTAAGCTTATTCGATTAATAATTAACGATCACAGCTAAAGATTTTCTTATGAACTGATGGATCTTATATCTAAGAAGTTTTCGAATTGTTGGAGGCTTTCCTTTCCGCTATATTTATTTCTCTGCTTGTTGTTTAGATACGTCCTTGTATCCGCGCTGCGAGCGATGAATCAGACGGAGAAAATCACCGAGGCACCGAAGGATTGTAGTGATTCCGGCTCCATATGGGAAACCGGCAAGAGTCTTTTCCAGTATGATCACTATTATCCATTTGAAAAATTCTAACTTTTTCTACAACGTAAAATCTCTAATAAGAAAAGTTCTCGAGTTATCTATATTTTTCATTATTGTTTCTTCAGGTATATTCGCAAAGAAGTATTACCACATGGTTCGACTGGTCGAGTGGCATTTGATGACAATGGAGATCGCATATTTGCCGAGTATGATATAGTCAACATTCAGTATACAGGTCCGAACAATAATAAGACACAAGTATCCGTCGGCCAGTACTTTTATCCTGCTGTGAGTAGATCCAGTAGTCCAAAGTAAATGAACATGTGATTTCATAGTTTGATCTTATATGCAAGATTGTTTCAAGTATGATTTCGAGATTCATGGAATGAGACTTTAAGATCTGATTATGGACGATCCTAAATGTAACGTAATTTTTTGTTGTTGTTGGATAGAACGGTACCAAAATGAAACTGCGAGTGAACGAGTCCAAAATTATATGGCCGGGCCGTTTGAAGACCAAACCCGAGGGTTTCATGATTCCCACGCATCTCAAGGTGTTAACCATCGAGGAGAAGCCATTCGTTTACGTTCGCGAATTGCCTGAAAGCGAGAACAAGTGCTTGCCTGAAGAAATCGCATGTCCTCATTTCAATATGACAGACGGTGCGTTGCTATTAATAGATCATTAAAGAGTTCGAAGTTCGGTTCAAATTGCCTGAGAAATTAATTTGCTAATAAATATTACCATAGCTCAAACTAATCATCAACTTCTGTTGAGAAAATTTGACACCAGATTGACAGCATTTCAGCAGGCTACTTAAAAAATATAATGAAATATAATTAATTTTTCTCGACAGATAAACAAATATTTTGTTGCAAAGGATATTGCATGGACTTATTAAAGGAGCTATCGAAAACAATTAACTTTACGTATAGCTTAGCTTTGTCACCGGACGGTCAATTTGGCAGCTACGTAATCAAAAACACTTCGGGTAAGTAACTGAATAGAATTATAATAATATTATAAAGTATTAAATTTGTAAAAAAAATTATTATATATAAAATTATATATAAAATTATAAATATTTAAAGAGTCAATATTCTCTTTCAAGTTTTTTAGACATTAAGAAATTAATAATTAAAATTCCTACATTATATTATTATTTTTTGTTCCTTTTCTCATGTATCAATTTACACTAAAAGTCGGAGGAAAGAAAGAATGGACGGGTCTTATCGGCGAGATAGTGAACGAACGCGCAGATATGATCGTCGCACCGTTAACGATCAATCCCGAACGCGCCGAGTTCATTGAGTTCAGCAAACCATTCAAATATCAAGGCATCACTATTCTTGAAAAGAAGGTATATAATGCTTCTCTTTAACTCTGAAATTATAATAAAAGTTACTACGTTTTATGTCAGAAATAAATACGCCTATTTTTTGGAATTTAGCCTTCAAGGTCATCGACTTTGGTCTCTTTCTTACAACCGTTTAGCAACACTCTTTGGATCCTCGTGATGGTATCGGTGCACGTGGTGGCGCTGGTCTTGTATCTGCTCGACCGATTTTCACCCTTCGGTAGATTCAAACTCGCCAACACCGATGGCACCGAGGAAGATGCCCTCAATTTATCCAGTGCTATTTGGTTCGCCTGGGGTGTATTATTAAACAGCGGTATAGGAGAAGGTAACAAATCTTGCATCCTTTTCCTGTTTACTTTATCGGACTTTATTCCTTGAGGAGAGAGAAAAAATTTAAGAAAAAAAAAGAAAAAAATTTTATTTTAAATGTTATATTGTCATTTAATTATCAATTAAATTGTTTATTAAATTCTCAGGTACTCCACGGAGCTTCTCTGCACGCGTTCTGGGGATGGTGTGGGCCGGATTTGCTATGATCATCGTCGCATCGTATACCGCTAATTTGGCGGCTTTTCTCGTTTTGGAACGACCGAAGACTAAGCTCACCGGCATCAACGACGCTCGAGTAAGAACGATTAATTAGTTACTTGCCGGAAACGAGAATAAACTAAAGTGATAGAATGAAAGTGTGTCGATGTCCAATTTGATACTGCGACATTTGTTTGTAAAGCTCAGAAACACAATGGAGAACTTGACGTGCGCGACGGTAAAGGGCTCCGCCGTGGATATGTATTTTAGGCGCCAGGTAGAATTGTCCAATATGTATCGCACAATGGAGGCGAATAACTACGACACTGCCGAAGATGCAATTCGCGACATTAAAATCGGGTGAGATTATTGAGATTTTTTCGTGTCTTTAATAATCTTATGATCAAGTTGCTTTTTCTCTCCAGGAAATTAATGGCGTTCATCTGGGACAGTTCGCGACTGGAATTCGAAGCGGCTCAAGATTGCGAATTGGTGACGGCCGGTGAATTGTTTGGCCGTTCGGGTTACGGAATCGGTTTGCAAAAAGGATCGCCTTGGGCGGATGCTGTGACATTAGCGATCTTAGATTTTCATGAAAGTGAGCATTTTATCCTATTTTCCGTATATTTATTAATTTTGTTATTCATGATTTTATGATAATATTGAATAACATTGAGGAATTTATCGAATTCAGCTAATAATATTAATTTATATAACATATAATTAAAATAAACATTAATTGTTGGCGATGCTTTTCGCAGGTGGTTTTATGGAGAGCCTTGACAATCTTTGGATTTTGCATGGTAACGTGCAACAATGCGAGCAATTTGAAAAAATGCCAAATACCCTCGGCTTGGAGAACATGGCTGGGGTGTTTATCGTCGTCGGTGTTGGCATTGGCGGCGGCGTCGGTCTAATTATAATCGAAATGGCATATAAGAAACATCAAATACGTAAACAAAGGAAGATGGAATTAGCGAGACACGCGGCCGACAAGTGGCGAGGGATGATCGAGGTAATTTAATTTAATCAATTTAAAGAAGATCGACACGATCGATTTAATCAAATGACGTCAAATTAAATCAAATCAAATTAATCGAAATAATTAAATTATTTGAACACGATTTCATTTTGGAAATATCGATCTCATTTTATAAAGTTATTTATTAAGAAATTTCTTAAAATTCTATCTATTAAAAAATTCAGCTCTTTGGAGATAATATCACTTTTCTGAGATGTCAGTGCTCTTTAACTCGTATTTTTTTAAATTGTTAAATTATTTTCTGTTTTGCAGAAACGCAAGACTCTGCGAGCGTCGATAGTTACGCAACGAAGAATTCAAAGCAATGGTCTGAACGATCCTGCGACGGTGAGCCTGGCGGTCGACACGGTCGCCAGGTCCAACGTGGGTTCACGCAGTCCTGGTCGTGCTTGGCCCGGTGATAGCGATCTGAGACAACGGCCAATTTCCCGCTCCGACGACATCCGTTTGTCGCCTGCTGCCTACACCGCCGACGTATCGCATCTCATAGTCTAATCCTACGTTAATTTGTAGTTTTTTACCAAATAAGAAGCATCATTGCCAACCGTTTCTGGTAGATCTGGTTATAACTCGGGATAGGACTCGATTTCGATTTTCTTCGCGTAGCGAAATATGATCACGGAATGATCATATCTGACGGGTGTGATTAGTGTGTTATAATCAGTAAATAATTGTGGGATATATTTAAGATGATTAATCATTTGCTTGTTAGACATTTACAGAGGATCGTGATGGAATATCTTAAAAATATCTCTGAAATGTATTTATTGAATCGTTGCAAATGAAATGTCAATTTTATGCAGATAATTTTAAAAA